TTCTTCATTTTCACTTTGGAGATGGGTTAGCTCAGAGAGGGAATACATGCTAAGAGTATGGAGCTGCCCAAGGAGGACCCCCTGCCTGGCCATGTTACCAGCTTCCTGTCTGGCGAGTTATTGTATCTCTGTTGCTCAGTTTCCTCCTGTCATATGAGAAAGTTCCAGGTCCCTTGAGGAAACGGCCAGAGTACACAGCCCCGTCCTTTCGTGGGGATGGTCTCAGGGCCCTGGATGTTCTCTGGCTTGAGCAGGGTCTGTCCATCCGCAGGGGTCTCCTGGAAGAAATCCCCAAGGGGAATCCTGCTTCTTTGTGAGATACTGATTTTTGAAGGTTTTCTGACTGTCTCTGAGTTTCCCGGAGGCAAAGAAGCGGGGCATGGGGTGGGGGGCTTATCGGAAAAGAAAAACCCCAACATGATGCGATGAAAACATGATTGGAATCATATGGCAGCTCTGATCAAACACAGCCGGGCACAGAGGCACAGCCATGGCTGGGAACTGGATGTGCTCCGGGAGTGTGAGGGGGTGGGGCCGGCCTGTGGGAAAGGACCACATTCGGTTCCAGTGGCTGGGAATCAAATGTGTTCTGGGACGAGTTCTGTGCCAGACCCTGTGCGGAACGCTGCTGCCAACAGAAGCAGACAGGGATCTTTTGTTTTGTTTTGAGCTCCCAGGGGTGCTCGGGGCTTAGTCCTGGATCTGTGCTCAGGGAATTGAACTCAGGTTGGCGGTGTGCAAGGCAAATAAGTGCCTTACCCGCTCCCCTGTCTCTCCAGCTCCCAGACTGGCTGGAGCTTTTCGTCCCGCATACAGGCTGTGTGGTGCTGGGTTTAGGTGGACAGCTCCCTGAGCTTTAGGCTGTTACTGGCAAGGCTGCAGCAGGCAGCAGCATCCTGGCGGAGAAGCTGGGAGTCCATTCCATCCGGCCCAGAGCCACCAGCCCTCCTCCTGGCCAGGGAGGGAGGGAGGGAGGGAGGCTCCAGGCCTGAAAAACTCAGGCTCTGTCATGATGAAAGATGTCACTGAGTCCCCGTGTGAGGTCAAAGAGGGTGTGGAGTGATTGAAGTCAAGAGCTGATTCCATCCTTGGAGTGGGACGTGTGATGTGACAAGTGACAGGTTGCAGGGCTCAGCCTTTCTGGGAGATGAAGAGATAGGCGCGGCTGAGCAGTAGGTGGTGGACGGAGGGTGGGAAAAGGGATGGAGATTCCCAGCCAGCTGGATGCTTGGATGCAGGGGACGGAGCCCTTGGCTGGAGAAGCGGGGGTGGAGGGCTGTGGGCTTGCTCCCTCTGGGGGACTCTGGTGTCAGCCTCCTCAGGCTTCTTCAGAACTTTTATCCCCCAGACTCCAGAGCCCTCAGGTGGCTTTGCTAGCTCTAGATCCTTGTTCTTGGTTCCTGAGCCTCAGCTTGCCCTTTGTTCCCTGAGGGAGCTCCCTGGGGCCCCAAGGAAGCAGGTATTTCAGAGTGAGGGTTTAGTTTGAGACAAAGATTTGGAGTTAGTCTTTAAAGAGAGGTCTTTTTATTATTATTATTATTATTATTATTATTATTATTATTATTATTTTGGTGGGGAGGATCTGGGGAAAGGTGTTGGTCCACATCCGGCAGTGCTCAAGGCTTTTTTTTTTTTTTAAATTTTTATTAGTGAAACACCATGAAGCAGTTTTTGTGCTTGGGTTTCAGTTATACAATGATCGAGTACCCATCCCTCCACCAGTTTCCATTCTCCACCACCAATAAACCCAGTAGCCCTCCCGCCCCCCCATCCCCTCGTCCCATCCCACCTCTGTGGCAGGGCATTCCCTTTTGTTCTCTCTCTCCTCTTGGATGCTGTGGTTTGCAAAAGAGGCATTGAGTGGCAATCATGTTATGTCTATAGTCTACTTTCAGCCTGCATCTCTCATCCTGGAAGGATCCTCCCAACACCTCAGGGCTTACTTTTGGCTCTGCAACTCAGGGATCACTCCTGGCGGTGCTTGGGAGACCATATGGAATGTCGGGGATTAAACCTGAATCAGTCTCCTTGATTCCTTCCTATCTTTCTGGCCCAGATTGAAGGGATTCTTAAAAATTAAGTATTGGGCTGGAGCGATAGCACAGAGGTAGGGCATTTGCCTTGCTTGCAGCCAACCTGCGTTTGATTCCCAGCATTCCATATGGTCCCCCAAGCACTTCCAGGAGTAATTCCTGAGTGCAGAGCCAGGAGTAACCCCTGTGCATCACCGGGTGTGACCCAAAAAGCAAAAAAAAATTAAGTCTTTATTTCCATGTGACAGCAGATGGTGGACAGGAAGTGCCCGGGGTTCCACAATGAGGGGCCAAGTGGGATTAAGAACTGGTGGTGGGAGGGGGCAAGGCACTGAGATCAGGTTCCAGTTGTCCCCAGGGACATGTTAGGGGCCTCTGACCTGGTAGTACCTGTCCCAGCACCCCACCTGCTTCCCTCTTCTGTCTGTGTACCAGGGCCCGAGGGACGGTGCTGTCACACTGGGCAGGATGCTTTCTGCTTGGCCTGCTGGGGAAGAAGTGAGTCCTGTGCACCCCCCATACCTGTGCTCATCTTCAGTCTGCTGGATGCAGGGCAAGGGGCCAGGAGGTCTGGAGGTCTGGAACTGGGCCTGCTGAACTCCGTGGCCAGTTGCCTTGATGGATGGCCTAATGGACGTGGGGAGACAGGGGTGACAGGAGGTAATGGCTGGATGCGCAGATGCATGAACGCATGGGTGGTTTCTCCCAGACAGCCCCTTCCCAGCCAGCTCACCGTTTCTCGTGAGCTCAACCTTCCCTACCCCTTGTACCCTTATGACACCTACACTTGGGCTAACTGAGAGACTCAAGTCCAGCTGAAGGAGAGTCCAGGGAGAGGCTTCCCTGGGTCCTGCTCGGTGAGGGGGTCCCGCAGTTTCTCCTGTACCCCGACCTCCAGCTACCTTGGCCTGACTTTGCTCCCACATGTAGGGGACCGGGACTAATGACGGCTGCCCTTCCCCAGACCTGGGGCTCTGTCCCGCACCACACAGACTTGCTACTCCCAGCTGGACAGGCCCATGGACGAGTCATGGGGTGTCCACAAGCAGCTCCTGAGCACCAGCTAAGCTCGAGCCAGAGTAACCAGCAGTGAACTTGAGTCAGAGGAAGTTTTGTCCTCCATGATGCTTTTCTTCTCCCCCTTCTGGGAGAATGTCCCTCATCTTGGGATCCCCTGGGGCTGAGGTAGGCTGTGGGGCCCTGGTGGGCGCCTCCATGCTCACTTTTCTTGCTCCCACGTCTATGCTGGCTCGTGCAGCTGTCCATGAGGATTCCTGAGAATCCAGTTCTCAGACATGTCTTTGGGGCTAGACCTTCCCCAGATGGCCCAGCTGGAGTGGTGGTCATTCTAGCTTGTTTTCCCGTGTGGTGCTGGAACCTCACATAGGCAAGGTGGGAGCTTTGCCACTGAGCCATCGCACCCCATTCCTTGATTTTTATGTTTTTTGAGACCATGCTCTGTTTATAATTTTTTTGTGGGGAGGGCACACTCGGCGGTGCTCAGGGCTTACTCCTGGCTCTGCACTTAGGAATCACTCCTGGTGGGCTCGGAGGACCATATGGGATGCCAGAGACTGAACTGGTCTTAGCTGTGTGCAAGCCCTACCGCTGTACTATCTCTCTGGACCCCCTGAGAACACACTCTATTTGAACAGGTGAATCTTCACTCCAGAGTCCCAGTCCCTCCTCACATAGTTATTTCTACCTTTCATGCGATGTGAGGGATTGAATTTAGGGTCTTGCATGTACAGGGTGAGTGGGCCACCAGTGAGCTACAGCCCCAGCCCCTCATGCAGTTATTCACTCTCTCTCTCTCTCTCTGTCTCTCTCTCTCTCTCCCCTCTCTCTTATTTTGGGCCACACCGAGCAGTGCTCAGGGCTTACTCCTGTGCTCAAGAGTCACTCCTTTGGTGCTGGGAGACCATTTGTAGTGCCGGAGATCTAACCGGGGTCAGCTGCATTCCAGGCAAACACATAATCTCTGTACTATCTCTCTGGCTCAGTTATTCATTCTCAAGACAATGTTCACCGAGTGGCTACTTTGTGCCAGATCATGGACTGGTCACCAGGGATATGGTGGAAGCCAAAATAGATTCTCACCCAGGAAGGCTGACAAACCAGAAGTATAACTTGGTGTGATGGAGGGGGGCAGGTGGGGTGGGAGAGCATCTCTGGATGCTTGGCAGGGACAGAGGTCTGTCACCCAGTCTCAAGTCAGGGAAGGCTTCCTGGAAGAAGAGTCATCTAGACCCAGATGGGAAGTCAGGAGGGCAAAAGAGAGGACTGATGTAGACGGAGGGAGAGGCCTGGGTGGGTGGGCACTTTCCCCCCTAGACACTAGCTATGGGGGTGGGGTGGGGGAAATCCTTGCCCCACCCCCCCATGAGATCAGGTTCCCCACAAACTCTCCACAGGGATACCTGATCCCTGACACACCTGGACGGCTGAACACTTGGGAGCATGAGACAGTCTGGCTCGGTCAGGGAACCGGCACAGGTTGAGTGTCGCTGAACCGTGGAGAGGAGGAGATTGTGGGAACTGACTGGGAGAACTCGGGGCGTCTGCTGGGCTGCAGGGTGGAACTTTCCTGCCAATCCGCCTCCCGCTTCCTGTCCCAGCCTTCCCACACAGACGACAGACAGTGCTCAGATCTGGGGGGTGCCAGCTGGGTTTTATTGGCAGCGTCGCAGTGTGGGAACTGAGGCACTGTGTACCCGCCAAGCACACGCATGCATGCACATAGGCATGTATGCTTGCACGCACGCACGCATGCACACACGCAGGCAAGCGCACACGCACGCACGCACGCACGCGCACTCCCCGACATCCCATGCCCTGCCCCGCTGAGGTCTCTGCGGAGGCACTGGAGCTGGAGATCTGGCTTTCCCTCTGATTCTTCGTTCCCCAGGACCACGGTGATGCGATACCTCACACAGGTGGGGTTCCTTCCAGGGCAGATGCAGGGAGCTAATTGCCCAGGGGCTTGTTCTGCAGGTAGGAGAATGGGGAAGGAGACACAGGTAATTGGAGGGGTGGAGGTGGGGGGTCTTAGGCAGAGGTGGGGAGGAAAGGACTCAGGCTTGCCTTGGCGTTTTGCTTCTGCAGTCTCTGGATGATGCGGTTCACCCAGGGCTGGTCTGGGGGTGCGCAGAGCTGGTGGTCTCTCAGCGTGGTGAACCTGGAGCGAGAGGGCACAAGGTAGAGAGGATGGAGCTAGGAAACCCAGCTTCCCGGAGGGCCATGCTCGGGTGGGCAGGGGGTTCCACAAAGGGGTTACACTTGTGAGGAAGAGAGGGAAGAGTGGGGCCGTGCCCCGCAACTCACACCACGGCAGGCATCCTGCAGCCGTCCTTGAGGTAGCGGAAGGCCTTCACGATCTTCCAGGGAATGAGGCGCTGAGTCACTGAGAGACAGCAGTCTTCTGCGTCATTGGCGCCCGCCAGAGCTGGGGGCCGGAGAAGAGAGGAAGGTAGTGTTGGGCACAGGGGACCCCAGGAGTCGAGGTTACTGTCACTGTAGGGGATGAAAATCTCCCCTTTCTCAGTGTGGGTGGAGATCCCCAGGACCAGTTTGCACCTACGGTCCATGGTCTTGCTGATTATTATTATTACTATTATTACTATAATTGGTTTTGGGACCTCACCTGGTGATGCCCAGGTGTTACTTTTGACTCTGCTCCTAGGAATTATTCCTGGCAGTCCATGGGGTACCATGTGAAATGTGGGGGGCCAAATCCATGTTGGCTACATGCGTGACAAGCGCCCTATCTGCTGTACTATCGCTCCCGCCCCTCCTGCCGGTTATTGAAGGTCTCAGAGTACTTCTTTTTTTTTTTGTGGTATGTTTTGGGCTACACCTGGGGGTGTTCAGGGATCACCTCTGGCTCTGAACTCAGGGATCACTCCTTATGGTGCTAGGGGGACCGCTATGAATGCTAGGGATGGAATCAGGGTTGGCTACATGAAAAGCAAGTCCCTTACCCTCCACTACTGTCTCTCTGGCCCCTGAAGTATTCTGAGCTACTGGGTAGCTGTCCTATCACCCCACCTCTTTCAACTTCCTCTTGACCTCTCACAAATTGGTGCTAGTCATCAGTGGGCTTGGGGTAGGGTGGGGAATGGGGTCGCAGGGTTGGGGTAGCAGGAAGATGGTGGCCAAGGCTTCAGGAATCGCCGAGTATTTGGGTTATGAGCCCTGCCTCTGTGTTTCCCATCCCTCCACCTCCAACCCAGATATACTGCTCTCTGCTTCTGCCTATGAAACCGAGGCAGCAGGAAAGAGAGCCTGCCAAGAGCAGGGTAGATATAAACTTTGAGATACTCCAACGCATACATGCAGTGGAATTTTGGGACCCAGATATACCCACAGGGCTGGAGAGATTGTACAGTGGGTTGCACATGGCCAACCTAGGTTTTATCCTGAGCCCCACCAGGAATGATCCCTGAGCACAGAATCAGGAGTAAGCCCTGAGCACCCAGGAGGGTGTCCTGTACTAAACACACACACACACACACACACACACACACACACACACACGACCAGATACATCCACATTCAGAAGGGAACCCCAAATTCACAGGCAGCCCCAACTTGCACGATGCTTCACGCCTAGCAACAAGAGCAGTCAAACGTTTAACCCCCACTTCCTGTCCCTCTAACCTTACCGCACTTACCCGGGCTACTCCAGAGGAACAGCAGGCTGAGGACCAGTAGGGGAGCCACAGGAGAGGCCATGGGCGGCAGGCGAACTGCAAAGAGTGTGAGCGGAGTGACGGACTGCAGAGCAGGAGTCTGCAGGGTTGCTGGAGAGAGGTCCTATCCTGGGATGGACGCAGGGGACTGGGTCAAGTGTGGAAGCCGTGAGCCTGTGGACTGTGACCGCTTCCTATTTATGTCCCTGGAACTTTCACTTTCTTTGCTCAGAAATCCCCTCACTGTGTTCTGTGGATCCCCCCTGCGCCCTCCTCCCTGGATGGAACCTGACCCTGCCCTCCTCTTTCCTGCCTCAGAGCCCCCCTCCCTACCCAGACCCCCCTCTTCTGCTTTCCTCAGCTTCAGCGCTGAGAACCTAAACTGACTGCAGACTGACCAAGAGAAGGAGAATCTGGGGGGCTCGCTCTGGAGATGGGGGTCTGATTGTCACCTCTTGGGGTGGGGGAGTGTTGGGCTGGCCGTCAGAGGTGATGGTCAGGATGGCGTCAGATGATGTTCAGGGTGGGAGGACCTGAGTGTGGAGTTGTGCCCCCTTTCCTCGGTGTGCCCCCACCTGTACTACCTTCTCTGCATCCCTCTCCTCTCTCTTCAGCTGCTGGTGAAGATGAAGATGACTCCTTGGGACCCTCAGGACAACCTTGGTGCCCAAGGTCACCCCTGACCTCAGTTTGGCTGGCATCTGCTCAGCCATCATCCGGGAAACTGCATCTTCCTAGAGACAAAGCAGAGCAGAAGGGAAGCTGCCTCTGATGGAGGCCTGACATGCCCTGCCCCCAAGACTCAGCCTTCTGCCTCAGGGACCACCATTAGTTCTTTCAGCACCAACATCTGGGTCAACCACAGAGCAACAGGGCTCTAGTCCCGGAGCTCCCTTCCTTGTACCCTTTTCCTGAATCCTGGGAACCCAGAGGCGATTTCTAAAGAGAGTGGCTGTTAGCTCATTATGAGGTGAGACCCCGGATTTCAAGGAATCCACAGCTGAGGGAGGGGAGGCGTGACTTCCCAGCCTTGTGAGAAATACCAGAGATAGACTGCAAGAGCAGAACCCAGCCAGGCTGAAAGAGCAGAATCCAGACAGGCTGGAAGAACAGAACCCAGCCAGGCTGGAACAGCAGAACCCAGCCAGGCTGGAAGAGCAAATCCAGAGACGGGCTGGAAGAGCAGGTCCCCACGCAAGGAACATGAGGTGTTCTGTTTCACCCACCCACATAGGCTCTGTGACCCCTTCTCCCAAAGGAATGTGTGTTTCCCTGAAAAGTTTCATTCTTATCTTTCTTCCCAGCTGCTGATGATAATGATGATGATGGTAATCATATTTCTGATTGATTGCACAGTGCTGGACTTTTGTTCAGAGACCTGTCTCCACTCCCTGGCTGAACTTGCCCAACCAAGCTTTGCAGTAGCTCTTAGTGCTCAGCACGTTATTCTCCGCGTCCCGCCTAAGGATGAAAGGCTTAGAGCAGTTCACAGCAGGTGTCCTGATCTCCCCAGTCTCTGTGCTAAGGTTTCCCAGTGACGTTGGGCCTATGGGCTTATGGGCCCAGTGCCAAACTATGTGATTGGTAAATCATAGAGTTGAATGTGCGTCCAGCATTTCTGTTTGATGGACACAGGCGTAGAGGTGCCTGCTGACATGCATGAATGTATGGCTGGTCCAAGTCCTGCTTCCTACTGCTGCTTCAAACACAGTTAAGTCTTCACTCGAAGTTAAGGAGGGTGGAAATGCTGGGTCTTGATTTCTCAGAGGGTGTTGGCAGCTGTCAGATGTACACGATTGCTCACAGGCCACCCATGGGTGACCTTAAAAGATAGGGAAGTCTCAGTGGACAGAATTTTAGGCAGCCCATGAATTTGTTGACTTACTTTTGGTTTTTTGGGCCACACCCTGCTATTTCTGGCTCAGTGCTCAGGGATTACTCTTGCTGATGCTAGGGGACCACGTGTGCATGTTATTCTAGTAAAAGCACAGAACAACGGAAGGCTTTGGACTTTGGGCCTAGAGATAGAGTAGTAAGTAGGGCGTTTGTCTTACATGTGGCCAGTCGGGTTCTATCCCTGCACTCCATATGGGTCCTTGAGCCCTGCCAGGAGTGATCCCTGAGCACCACCAGTTGTGGTCAAACCTCACCCCCCCCCACAAAAAAAGAAAAGAAAAGGAAACACATCTTTATTGGCAATAAAACAACTTGGGGAGCCTATCCGCCAGCACAGCCTGGAAAACAACTTCAAAGAGGGAGTAGTGGGTCTGACTTTATGCCCCGCAGAGGTTGAGTGATGTAACAGTGCATACACATATTAGTAGTTTTTCAATAAACTTCCATATATTCATGAGGGAGAGCAGTGAGCATGCACAACTGAGAAATATACAAAGCACACTGATTGCCTGTTTAGAAAATGGCAGAGAACCATCATGGAGGTGTGGAGTTAAGTATTGTAAGGAGAGAAAAGCAAGGATACTGGAGGTTGAACTGGATTCTACTGTGCAGTTCTTTCTTTCTTATTTTTTTTAGCTTTTTGGGTCATACCCGGCGATGCTCAGGGGTTACTCGTGGCTTTTCACTTAGGAATCACTCCTGGCGGTGCTCGGGGGACCATATGGGATGCTGGGAATCGAACCCGGGTCGGTCGCGTGCAAGGCAAACGCCCTACCCGCTGTGCTCTTGCTCCAGCCCACAGTTATTTCTTTAGTTTTCTTTTTTTCCCCCCTTAATGTAGGAGTACTGCCATTTTAGCTTTTTCTAAACCCAAAACATTTCTGGTTTTTTTGGGGGGGTAGGAAGGGAAAGAAAAGAGTTGCAAAAAGCTTTGACATGGGTACAGGGATCAAACATGGGTTAGCCACAGGCAAGGCCTTACCCACTTCCACCACCTCTCTGGCTCCTGCTCTGAGTCCTCTTTTTTTTTTTTTTTTGGAGGGAGGTCACACTCAGCAATGCTTAGGTCTTACTCCTGGCTCTGTGCTCAGGGGTCATTCCTGATGGTCTTGGAGGATCATATGGGGTGCTGGGGATTGAACCTGGGTTGGTCATGTGCAAGGCAAGCACTATACCTGCTGTACTCCTGTACTATTGCTCCAGGCCCTCTGTGATCTTTCTTGAACATGTCTCTCTCTCTCTCTCTCTCTCTCTCTCTCTCTCTCTCTCTCTCTCTCTCTCTCTCTCTCTCTCTGTGTCTCCCTTTCCTATTTCTCTAAGTAAACATTTTGAAATAAAGCTGTTTTACTTGATTATTTTGTTTCCCTGAAATTCTTCTCTCTTTCCTTTTTCTTTTTAGTTTTTGGACCACACCCAGCAGAGCTCAAAGATCGCTCCTGATGGGGCTCAGGGGACCATATCATTGCCAGGGATTGAACCTAGGTCAACAGTGTGCAAGGCAAGTGCCCTACTTGCTGTGCTATGGCTCCGTCCCCCTGAAATGCTTCTCAGTAAGTTCCTGAAATGCCTGTGCTAAGGCTAGGGCAGACCTTCCTTTTCCTGCAAAGGGCAATTCCTTGCTCCATCCTGAATCTACAGCTTCTCAGTGTCTCTGTGGTGGGACCCTTCCTGTGTGTGTAGATCTTTGGGCACAACCTGATTGCTGCCTTATGGGGCTTGTGGGATTTGAGTGTCCATGCCATATAGGTGCTCCTTGAAGCTTTTATTAGTCCTGACTCATACTAGGCATTTCCCCAGGTGGCTGAGTTGGAATGAAGAGAGGTGAGCAGTTAGTTTTAGTTCGTTTTCTCAATGCTACCTCCCTTGCTCCCCTCTTTACGTAAGCTACGTTTTGAAGGTAGGTCATTGGGATTTAAAAAAAAATTGGTACCACAACTGGGAGATTCTCCCAACTTAGTGCTCAAGGGATCCCGTAGTGCCAGAGATCAAACCTGGGCTTCCTACACATGCTCCTGCCCTTTGTGCTCTCCCAAGCCCAAGTCAGTAAATGGATTTTGCTGAGGGGTTCAGCATTCGAAGAGAGAGAGAGGGAGCACCAGCCAGTGAGAAAGCCAAAGAGAGAGAGAAAGAGAGAGAAGGAAGGAGGGAGGGAGAGGGAGAGAGAGAGACGGCAAAGATACTGCAATATTTTTGGCTTGAGTAATGAGATGGATGGAGTTATATTTACCAAGATGCGGCTGACTGCAGAAGAGTGAGCTTGTGGGAAGATCAGGAACCTTGTTTTAACTTGTTAGAATAAAGCTGCATTTTAGACCTATATGGGGAAGTGTTGAGGAGGTAGTTAGTAATATGAGCCCAGAGTTCAGTGGAGAAATTCTGGCTGAAGACAGGAACTTGGGAGCATATGGATGGTTTTTAAAGCCAGAAGACAATGAGATCACCAAACCACTGAGTGGTGATAGGGGCTCTAATGGACAGATCTGGGAACTGAAGAGGAATCGGGAGGAGGGGGCCTCGAGTGTTCTGAAAAGGCAGAGGTCACAGGGCCCCTGCGTGGCAGGTTCATTTATTTATTTTGAAATAAATAGATTTTATTTGGAGGGTCTTTAAGTTGTGGAGGGGGAGAGAGAGAGAGAAAGAGAGTGTAAAATGTACTCAAGAGAGAATGCGGGCTTCTCCATAGGTGGAGAGAGCCCCTAGACACATTGCAGCATTAGACACAAAAGTATGAAAGTACACATCTCAAGAGGGGAGATGCGGGTGATACATGTGCTCAGGCACCGCATGTGCTTGGCCATGTGGGCACAAGCAGCACATGGGCTCGGGCAGCATATGCACTCCGTGGCAGGTTTAAAGCACCTCTGTAGCTCTGTAGTGACTGGTAGGGGGGTAAGGGTAGGGAAGGGTGGGGGCCAGCAAGATGGGCTTGAAACGGTTTCCAACCCACAGAGCCCTGTGTCTTGGAGGGCAGGCTGCCTTTATGGGGATCCGGTTTCATGTGAGCCTTGCTTTAGTTTGGTTCCAGCCCAGGGCAGATCACCCCCTCTAGTCCCACCTTTCTCCTAACCTCCATGGTCCCTTTCTCACCAAATTCATGGTGATTGTGGGGATGAGGTGTGTGGAGATCCTTGGATGGAGGACTCCTGGGCCACTGGGGGTGGTGATGGTGGTGACAGCTGGATCTGGGAAGTCTGCCAAGACAGCTGGA